TAAATGAAGAACTGTGTTATTGATGAGCCCACTTACAATTGTCTCGTTACACTCAATGTGGAAGTTCTGGATACCCATGGCTGAGTTCAGGTCTTCCTTCTTGGCATCAACCAGCTCTCGCAGTGCAGCCCATCTGTGAACACAAATCACTAAAATTGTCATCTACAACTACCACATTGAACCTCAGGGTAACATGCCAGCACAAAAAGCTGCCTACCACACAGTGCCAGTGCTTCTCAATCCTATTACTAATAAATAATATTATGTTTTTTGAAAAGCAGATACATTTAAGGTTTTAAAACTCCTTCTGCAAATTGACACTGGTGCCAACAATCAGACATTTCGGGACTTCCAGGAAGTATTTTCTCCCCATTTCCCGTGGCTGACCTGTTGACCTGTCATTCTGCCTGTCAATCTTCCCCACCCAGGTGCTGTCAGCCTACCATCAGGACAGACAGACACACAATCCCACAGCTCAGCCACCCAAAGCAGTACTTCTATACCCAGTGAGTTCTTGTTTTATGTGTAAGATCCATGTATATACTAGAAAGGTAAAATTTGCAAAGCAACTGCATAATGTTTACCTTTGCATATGGTCTGCTCTGTTAATTTTTACTCAAATACATTCATATATATAGCCAGTCAGAAGTATAAATCCCTCCTACTATAAAATTGCAACATTATGTAACCCAGCACCAGTTACCATGGTGACAGACGTCAACAAATCAGGTCATTGGCCAGTGTTTGGAACAGAAGAAGAAGAAATATGTTTTCCTTCAGTAAACATAATTACTAACTGCTGACCTGGAGTTGAGCTGGTTCTGGCGAGCCATGATTTCGTTAGAGTTGGGATGTTGGTTCTGCAGTAGCTGCCGGCCCAGCTGGTTCACCACGGCCACGCGCGAGGCCTGGGCGTTCATCTCCTGCTCCAGACCCTCAAACCTGTGCCGCACCACCTCCAGCTCCTCGATGTCATTACCAAACTCCATGGTGTTCAGCATCTGTTCCTGTTGATTGGAGAGAAGGTCAGGATGCCAGATGTCATTATTCAACCTTGTACCACATAAGCCAACGACTGCAAACCTATAGACATTTATGGCTTTGAAACAAAAATAATTTAACAGAAACTATATAAAGAAGTCTCATATCTTAGTGAAATTTTGGTGAACTTGTAGTTTTGTTCATTACTGTGAATTTCTTACATTATTTGTATGCATTGTCCCAACTTGCTCCCATAAGGGGAAATTCTTCATAAGGCAACAGACATGCATAAAGCAGGAAATTAAAGACAAGATGTGAGATAAGCTTTTCTGGGACCATTGACCTGACTTCCTATCAGTGTCCCCGCCCCGAAATAACTACTGAAACACAAGCAAACACACACACACACACACAGAAGCTCTTTACACTGAGGTAAGGAAAATCTACCAACCTTTTCATCGATCCATGCCTCCACGCCGTCAGCCTCGGTGAAGAGTTTGTGCAGTGCCAGAGCATCCTCCAGGCGGAGTTTACGCAGCTTGGCCATCTCCAGGAGCTCCTTGTACCGCTGGTCCACCGTCGCCAGCCGGTTCTCAACATCCGGAGAGTCCCGCTCCTGTTCAACCCAGAGTTCATCATCAGAACAGGAGAATCATTCAAAATAAATAGGACACTCTTAGAGCTGCTGGTGTTGCCAAAAATAAGATAACCTCCCTTAGGCCACCAGCAAGTAAATTTTATGGATGACATCCTCTGCAGATTCCAAATCTAATGCAAGCAGTCAAAAAAAAAACAAGACGGGCCGAAAAAAAACAAGGTTCCTACATTTTAAAATTTTGACTCAAACATTGTACAAATGATTTTGATTCAGTGGGAACATCTCATATAGACATCCAGCATATCACTGCATCAAAGTAAGAAACAAAACATTAAATCAGAGCCTTGTCTTGTCTCCTCTCTTCATAGTCATCTGCCATCCACCTTCCGGCATGGCAGCAGACATCTTTGCCCATTTTTGGCATTTTGACCACTGTCAGAAGGTGACAAACTTTCTTGTTTTTTCCCCCAAAATCAGGCCAAAATTATTGCGCGCGCTGATGTCATCCATAAAATTACTTGCTGTAGCCTTAGCTTCTCACCACTTGTGTTGTAAACACCCTTCTACACTATTTTTTATTTGTCATTGCTGTCACCAGAACTTTGACCAAAGTGCATCACCAACTCTTCCACCCTCCCAGCTTGACCCACCTACACAAATACACCGTCATTACCCCCTTTGTTTCCGCTATCTTGTCTTGTAAGTCATGTATGAGCTTCTGATCCTGGGAAGAAAAGATTGATCAACATCTCTGTCAAGATTTCAAGCACAAAGCTTAAGACTGAAGCATAATGCTTTGTAAAACAACCCACAGGAAGTGAGGGAGATTAAGATGATGAACTCACCTCTTCTCCGAGTGATTTGGCTTGGTCGTGCAGTTGGCTAATGTTTGTCTGATAGTTGTTCAGCTCCTCAGCAACAGCCTGGTGACAGAAACAATGGAGAACAGTTGGAAGGGTAATACCACAAGTAAAAGTTATGGAAACCAAATTTCATTAAAACTGCAGTACACAGTACAGTACTGAACACCACTGAACAAAATACGTTTTTTGAACCAGGTTGTCCAGTGGGCAACCTATGGCAAAAATTAGGTTGCCCATCAGAATTTTAGGTTGGCCCACCTATAAGTTACTACTTTCCTCAAATAATAAGTAATGTTACATACATAAGCCTTTGACAATATTTCTAACAGCCTTTAGTTAACCGATACTAGTAATACCCATTAATACCTAGTAATAGCCATTAATACCTAAAATCAAAAAGCATCTACTAAAAAAAAAAAGTTTACTGGATACAGTGGTACAAGCCAAGTGGGCATGTTTTGGGGGGGGGATTCTTAAAATTCAGGTAGCCCAAAAAATAGGTTGCCCCAAGTAAAATTTGGTTGCCCGGGGCAACTGGGCAACATATTTCAGACTTCTGGGAATTATTATGGGTTTTTGTGACCTTCAAGTTCATCCCTGACCTTTGGACTTTCTGTCATTCTGCCAGTCAATCTTCCCCCACCCATGTGCTGTCAACCTTCATGTACCCTCAACTTGAGTTCTCTCCAGTTCCTGTGTCTCAACTGTTTGACCTGCCATTTATGCCTGTCAATCTGCCCCACCCAAGTGTTATCATCCTACTCTGTCCAGACAGACACAGCAACCCCACAGCTCAGCCACTCTACCCAAATCTTGTCTCCATGTGTGGTGGTTTCAGGTCTCGAAATGAACTTTCCTTCCTATTGTCCCAGCACTGTCCCAAAAATAAATTTCAATTGTCCCGAAGTGAGGATGAACTGTCCCAGCTGTTTTTTGGCAAGTATTGTATGACTTCAACTTGAAGTCAACTTTATTTTGCTTATGTTCACTCCCTGGCACACTATAATTGCAGAGTAGACAGGAAATTCGGGGGGGACTTTTCTGGATCCAAAAGCTGGGATGTGTGCCTGATACACAAAAGAAGGGCTGATATTCTGATGTTGATTATTTTTCTATTGTCCCCAAAATGTCCCAAAGTGTCTTTTTAGTTTTCGCAGCCTAAATTTCAGTTTTCAGTGGCCATTGGACCACCTTTAATTTCGTTACCTGTTGTTTCTTGATGAGTGACTGCACGCTGGCCTCATCCCTGCCCACATCCTCACTGCCAACAAGCCGCTGGGTGTCCAGGATCCAGTTCTCTACATCGTCAGCATCCGCAAAGAACTGCACAAAAAACACAACAACACATGTTACAAATACAGTCAGAAACCTTTAAACTCTTCTTAAAAAAACAACATTGCTGATAATACTGGGAAAAACAGAGTTTACAAATCACATTTAATTTAACACTTGAGTCTTAATATTTGAAAGGAGTTGAGCTCCAGAAAATTAAAATGCAAGAATGCCAGTTGTGTGAAGATGAGGGGAAAAAAAGTTCTTCAGAAAAACAAAGCAAAAAAATAGTCGTCTGCAAAGATAAAAGATAAATAAGACTCAATATGTACAAGATTTTGCAAGGCCTTCAGGCTTGGACATATTCAGCACATGTCCTCAGCATGAAAAAGGCGGTTCACAAGGAGACCACCAATATAACAACCTGCTTTAGCATTACTGAGTCTGATACTCAAAGTAATAAAAGATAAGCTAAAAATGTCAGGTTGTAAAATATCTGCAGAACGAGTAAAAAAAGTGTTTTAAATGGAAACAGAGAGTGTCAGTTAGTCCTCACTACCTGTGAGAAATTGGGCTGGTCTCAATCCTGATGTTTCTGACTCAGGGAGAAGAGTTGTTGTTATAGTTCTACTCGGTAACCCGTAACCCAGGTGAGTGGTCATACCATTCAGGTGGTAGCACCATTTACCTTGAAGTGGCCATGTTACCATGTTAGTGGCGACCACTAAGTAAAAAGATATAATAAAAAATAATAAAAAGTGTTCTGACTTGATACAGGTCCACGGCGTTGTGCAGGCGCTTCTTGCGGATCTCTGCCAGTTGTTCCAGCTCGTCCCATTGGGTGTTGACCTCGTTGATGCGAGTCCTGATCTTCCCTGCACCAAAGTGCTGCTGCTCGATCAGTTCCTCGCCCGACCCGATCACGCCATCTATGTACTCCCGCCGGGCCTGCATCTCACGCTCTAACGCCTGGTACAAACATAGGCAGTCAAACTCAGTCTGGGCTATTCTCTCAAAATAAACAATAACAACCCTTCCCTAAATTTATTGTTACATCATCAACAATCTTTTCTAACTGAAATTCACAACAACTCAACATATGCTGACTTGCTTAATGGCCACCCCCAAGCAGTATCTGTATCTGTGTAGCCGGTATAACCGCCTTTTGGGGGGAACACACCAGCTAAGTAATAATTTAATCAGTTCTGAATTATAGTTATAAAGTTTAAGCTTGTTCCAACACAAGAAAAGAACTCACTATTGTGTTGGAACAAGCTTAAACTCTATTACTATGGATGAGCTTTCATTCGAAGATCTGAATTAATTCAATTTTAAATGACACACACACAAAAAAATGTTTACCCCCATACATAATAAAAAATTTTTGCAGATTAGGTGAAAAATCATTACAAAAGTACATTGGGTTAAACAGTTTTTTGGTATGCAAAACCTGTAACTATTATAACATGACTAGAGCACATGACTCATATTCATATTTTTGTTATTATTTATGTCAGTTCAAATATTGTTTACTGTTTTGGTACTTCAATTTTGTATTGATTGGAAAGTACATTAATTATAACTTTCATTTCATACATATTATGTCTATTATTTGACCGCTGATCTCCAATTCACTTTTTTTCCTCTATGATTGATTCTGTTTCAAGTTTGTTATAATTTTAGTATGAATGTGTGTTTTATTTATTATTATTGCTAAAAGCAATTATTATTATTATTATTGTTATTTTATTTTATGTTGCTGGACTCCAGGAAGAATAGTATGGAGTTAACTTCCATACTAATGGAGATCTCAATAAACAAACAAACAAACACTTTGTTTACCTTATGCTTGTTGACGAGCAGGTTGACAGACGTGACGTCGTGTCCGATCTCGGGTGAGGCCAGGACGGCCGCCTTCTCCTTGATCCAGCCCTCCTCCTCCGCCATGTCCCAGAAGAACTGCCACAGCTTACGGGACTCCTCCAGACGGCCGCGACGCTCGGCGGCCAGCGCCACCAGCTCCTGGTACGAGGCCTCCAGGTGGGACATCCGCTCACCCACGATCTGAGGGTCGGCTGGCTTGTACTCTGTCAGGTCAGTACACACAGTCACACACAAGGTTGTAACATCACCTCACAACTTACACTAGGTACAGTGTTCTGTCTTTCCATCATTTGGCAGAATTTTGTCCAATATGTCACCTTTGACAGACAAAAATTGGCATGTAAAGTAGAGAAAGAGATGTCATTCAACTAAGGGAAAATTTGCAGGAAATAGCATTTCAGAGCGTCAGGATTTCAAAATTTCCAGGAGGAGCATGCCCCCGGACTCTCCTAGGATTGCCGTGTTCAGTGCTCAAGAGAATATTACTGCAAACGAAGTTGAGATGATGCAAAAAAAATTCTGGCTGGCTAGAACATTGCTCACTTATCTGAAAATGTGATTAACAGCTGTATCATCAACCAATCAGTATCTCTGTCTGGCAAAACAAAGTGAGCTGATTGGTTCAGCCTTTAAAGAGATCATTGCACAGGATAACTATCACAACCCTGTGTGCCTAAAAACCAGTGCTAGCTGTTGTACACACCATCATCGTCCTGGCGTGCGAACGGTGCGGCTGAGTCGTTGACGGCCTTGACCCTGTCGGCCTGGACGGCGATGTCGGCCTCCATGAGCTGGTGCTTCTGCAGCAGGTCCTCCACACCCATCAGGTGCTTCCCGTAGTCCTCAGACGTAAGACGCACCTGCAGGGGACAAACCATTTCTCATGTTGGACAGGGCAGCACAAAATCTCACGCAAAAAAAAACCCACTTAAACTACAATCCTAAATTATTTGCTACAAAGCTAGAAAAGCCCTTGTATGGATGTTACTTGAGAGTATTGGACACAATACATCAAAAACTAGGACTTGTATGCCAGTCTGCCACAACTGTTGGACAAAATCAGAACAAGAAGGCTAAAGTTTGCAGGGCAATGTCTCAGGAGCAAGGAAGAATTTGTGGCTCGAAACTCCCAGGCATGGGAAGAAGGCAGGAAAACCAGCAGCAACCTACATTGATACACTTGGACACTGGCCTTGACATAAGCAAACCTGTTCAACTTCATTCCTGTCCATTCTTTATCCTATAGATCTATTATATTTTACCCTTCTACCACTACTGTTGAAACAATCTTCTGACCATCCCCCATTTTAAAATCAGGGTGACACTCTCCCACACGTACCTTCATCTCGTCCATCCAGTCCATGATGTAGAGCATCTCCTGGAAGATCCTCTGCAGACTGAGCGAGGCTTCCAGCCGGCCGCGCCGAGCCTTCAGCAGCTCCAACAGGTACGCCCACAGCCGCAGGATGTTGTCCTTCCTGTACACAACACAGCAGGGGGAGGGGGGCACAGAAGTCAAACTTAACTCATAAGGCAACACCAATTCAATTTGTTGCTTCTCCGATTATTTCCGAAAAAATATGAAGCGACAGGGCGAAAAAAAAAAACAGGCCAAGACACCCCACGATAGCCAGAAATGTTACAATATGAGCCATGAAGTGAACATACCAGGCTGGTTTATAATTAAAACAATAGATTTTGAACTTTTAATGAAACAAAACTGCATAGTTACATTGAAAAACTTTAACAACTAGGAAGAAAAGGACTTTCTTCAACCGTTGGACCCAAAATATGTCTTTCACTGAGCATTTTGCAGTTGATTTAGAACCAATAAAATTTTTTTTTTTTTGCAAATCAGAACAAAATGGACAGGGCGAATCCGAGAAACAACAATTTGAAATTAAATTGGAGTGGCCTAAGGGAAAAAATGCTGACAGTGTTCTATAGGAGTAACTGAACAAAATCTTCTTGATTTGAAAGCTGACCACTGCATGGTATGACTTTTTTCTAACTTAGCCTTTACAAGAAATCCACATCATGTCCCATCAATGTAAAAACAATCATGGCCAGCCAAGCTTGCAGTTTTACTTCAAACAACAAGGCGGCGCTGTTGTGAGTGTTGCTCCACTACTGACCTGGCGTTAATCCTCTCAATGTCGTGATAGTTCTCAGTCTCCAGTTCCTCAGCGACGTGCATCACGGCCTGCACTCTCTCCTCGTAAGCGTTGATGTCCGTCTCGATGGCCTCGTGCTTCTTGGTTGCTGCCTCCACCGCCGGCAAGTCAAAACCAAAGTTATCCTGCAAGAGAAAAAAAACAACAACATCGAACCAACTCCACAGGATGGCTGAAAAGCTGTGACGACGTGTTACACTGCATGCCTGTACTGTACGCTTTACTCCCTTTCAGGTACCACGTTTAGTGCTGCTACTCTAGCTAACGGCAAAATGAAGTGTTATTTTTGCCAAAGCTTCTGGACCTTGAGGCATGCATACCTTCTGTACATGACCACGTGGGTCCTGACTCCTACTTGTAACGACCAAGCACCATGCATTCTACTGGGACACCTTCTTATGACAATCTTCAAGCATGGCCCAACTTTCCAACTTTTTTAAAACTAAAAAGCCTGGTAGCAAATGTTATAACTTTAAATATGTGCGTGATAACAACAAACAAAAAGTGGCCGTGCTTGAAAACTATCTCTGTCTGTGGGCAAAATTCCTTATCTTATGACTGAATACCTCTAGATTGACTCGAGACCCCTCTGAGGAAGTCACTGGCATCTGTGCGGCATGGAAATATCGACAATAATCTTCATGGGAAGGTGTTAGGGGCCGCGAGGCCAACAGGTCATGGAGGGAAACACACGGTGCCGGGAAGGCCTGCTGGGGTTAGCACCACTCGTGTTGTTGCAGGGCACACCAATGGACAGGACAATCACATAGCAATCTGATTATCGTCATCCCCACATATCCACCATGCTAGACTGGACTAGGTGCTACACCAGACATGATACACAAGCTGGGGTGCATCTTACTGAAGGCAACTATCTTACCCGCATGTGTGCATACATACAACCACATTCCCATAAACCATTTAAGACTTAATTTAATCAGCATGTATGTAGCAATGCAACCCAATCACCGTTAGTCACTGGCAGTTTATTGCATAGAAATTGTGGATGATGTTACAGTGATTATATCATATGGGTTTGGGCATGCAACATGTGAAAAATGCACACAGTACTGGTTAATGCTTGACGTCAATGATAAACAAGTAGAGATGATGGTGGCTATGTGTTAATTCCATGTTGGGAAGACGAGGGGAACAATACAGTCACGTGGGTGATATCGAAGAAACGATTAGAGATGCTACGACTACGCTACTTACCTGGGACACGAGTCTTTGGTTCTCGCTAAGCCAGGTCTCCCGCATAGCGGCCTTTCGGTCAAACCTGCGAGCGAGCTGCTCCAATTTCTCCTGCCGCATCAACTCCTCGCGCAGGGCGATCTCACGTTCGTGTTCCGAACGCTCCAACCGCTCCCAGGCCTGAACAACAGTTAATAACAGCTTCATTTTCACTGAAAATGCAGTCTTTTATCACATTCAGCATTAACTCGTTCTGAAAGCAGCAATGCCATTGGTATATCTTTAAACCTCATCTGATTGGTCCAAACCAGTATGTTATCACCGTCCAAATTCCTTGTTCGAAATCTTTTTACAGTGACAGTTTCTTTCCCCGTACGGCCAAGCTTTGCAATTCACTCCCTGACAAGTGTTTCCCACCAACCTACAATCTACAGGCTTTCAAATCAAACGTTCACCTCCATCTCTTGACAAAATGTTTCATATTTCTAGGTCAATGCCTAGAAGTGGTCGTATAGGCCTTGCATTGAACTACTCCGTTAAAAAAAAAAGGTCTGTGACAACCTCTGTGAGAACAACCACGTCCCACATTGTGAGTATTGTAGTGACTTTATCTGACATGGCTTAGTAAGACGTTGCTGAGGACTGACCTTGTTGATGTCTGAGACCAGTTTGCCCTCCTTGGGCGTGTAGGGCTTCTGGTTGTTGGCTCTCATCTTACTTTGCAGGGTGAACAACAGCACCTCCAGGTTTCCCTTTTCCATAAACCTGTCAAACAGGGAAATACATTCATTTCTTGGTAAAGGAAGTTTCTGTTGATTCTAGTTTCTAAAACTGTATTTGCTTGGCTTACTCTTATTCCTAAAATTTCTTGTTAAGAAGCAAATCTATAGTTTTAGAGACTGATGGTCATATGTGACACAACGCCAGATAATGTAAGTTGTAAGATAGTTAAGAGAATTTGTCACTAGGACTTGAAACAGTCCTAGTGGCCTAAGTACAGATATTATCTGTGTGTGTATCGGCTAGCAATGAGGCAAGTCACCACTGTTCTTTTGACCGTCTCTAATCTGCATTGGCATGTGTAATATCTGTATCAAATGGATATAGATGTAGCTAGGGAAGAAATATCTGTATACAAGTAATAGCAGTGAATATAGTGACAGTTACTATAATTAACATCAAGGCTTGAAATACCACCTACATAATTGTGCAGGTTAGAGCAGGTAAAATTGGAGCTGTGCGGGTACAATGTATTTCTGCACCAGTCCAAAGTGGCATCCTGCTATACAACTTAGTTACAAGAGGTACACTGGTACCAGGCCCACCTTCAAACCATCTTCAGGGCTCGAAGTTCTTTTTTGGGAATAGGTGCACTGGTGCACCCAACCTAAAAAAAATTTTGGGTGCACCATTAAAAAACAAAACCTAATTACAGATCTTACAGCTGCTTCAATGTGAAATGGGAGCTAACTTCAAAATCTAAGCAAGTACTACAACAAAGATTTTATTATTTCATCTGACACTTAGATGCCAAGAATATACTGTATATATTTAATATGTACAAAAATACCTACAAAAATTTTGGGTGCACAGGTGCACCCACAAATTGGGTGCACAGCTTCAATTTTGGGTGCACTAAGGTGCACTTGCACCCAGTATTTCCAGCCTTGATCTTTAAAGGACTAAAAGGAATACAAACTGAGTAGTGCAGGTGCACTAATTGCTGCTGAAGAGATGTCTTACTTTGGAGGCTTCTCGACTGTCCTGTAGGTGTTGAAGGCCAGCAGCTGCTGTTGCACACCTTGCAGGGAGTTGGCAAACGTGCGGTCGTTCAGGATCACGATGGTCTGCTCAATCCACTTCAGCAGGTCCGATGCCATGGTCTCGTAGTCTTGGATCATGTTCTCATTGTCAATGGCACTTTGGACCATCTGGAGAAAATAAAGATGGAAAAAAAAATTGTAAAACCTTCTTTGTATTCCAGGGTGGTACTACTTGCAGGTAAAGATAAAGTTTGTATAAGGTATAAAATCTGTATCTGTATAGCCGGTATAACCGCCTTTCGGCGTAACACACCAGCTTCTGTATCTGTATAGCCGGTATAACAGCCTTTCGGCGTAACACACCAGCTTCTGTATCTGTATAGCCGGTATAACCGCCTTTCGGCGTAACACACCAGCTTCGCAGGCACGCGGTGCGGCAGCAGCTGGCTACATTACACCGATCGACTTGTTACACTTAGCCCTTGGACATCTAACTCTAGACATTGTTTAAAGCTATCTAATGACAATGCCCCTACTGTACTTGGTAACAGCGAATTCCACTCTGCGAAGAAGAAGAAAGAATGAATTCTTGAACGCCTCAAGTTACTAGCACTTTTGCAAGTAGCCATTTCACAGTTCCCGAAAGAATATGGATCACAATTATGATTTTGACATTTTGGTTTGTATATTTCTGTTCAGTCATTTATATATATTATGTTGTATCATTTGTTTAATTTGATTTTCAGTTATACTGATCTCAGTTGACATTTCTCAGCTATGTTACTTGATTGTATAAATTTACTTTTATACAAATTGTTTTATGTTTATGTGTCCCTGGGCCCTCTTGGAAATCAACAATTTACTGTTGAAGAGGCTACCCAGGTGCTTAAGTCAAGATGAAATGAATATGCAAAATAACTGCCCATACACACTAGGAACTGTGCAATGGCTTATTATTAAGTTAAATCGTTGGGGGAAATCCAAAGAAGCACCATTCAAAAAACTGGGCAGACCCTCCAACTTATGAAACTGAGAAGACAATTCTAAGATGTCAAGACCAACCTTGCCGATCCTCTTTCCCTTGACTTGTTGGTCCTTCATCTGGGAGAAGTAGTGATAGTACGTCACTACGTAGGTGATTATGGACTTCTCGTCTGGGTACTCTACATTCACATCTGTGGACCAAACAAACAACTGTTACAATGAAGACTTGAGAACATAAGTGCACCACCTTGTGATTCACAGGAATACTGCACAAGGTATATTTTCCCTAACAAAATCAAACTGTTAGGCCACACCAATTTAATTTGTTGCTTCTCTGATTTTTTCAGAAAAAAATATGAAGCGACAGGGCGGAAAAAAACAAAACAGGCCAAGACATCCCATGATAGCCGGAAATGTTACGATATGAGCCATGAAGTCAACATACCAGACTACTTTATAATTAAAACTTACAATAGATTTTGAACTTTAAATGACACAAAGTTGCATTGTTACATCGAAAAACTTGGAAGAAAGGGACTTTCATCAACCTTAGGAGCCAAAATATGTCTTTCATTAGGCATCTTGCAGTTGATTCAGAACCTAAAATGTTTTTTTTTTTTGCAAATCAGAAAATGAATAGGGCGAATCCGAGAAGCAACAAATTAAATTGGTGTGGCCTTAAGGTGTAACTGAAATTTCACGATGAATGATGAAATATTTTTAGAAAACGTTACTATCCATTGTGGTTCACAGAAGACTGACCCAAGCAAAATTTTTGTTCTAAAAGTCGTGTATGGTAGACAGTTGTACCTTCTGGGTCTAGAAGTTTGGCCAGGCCCAGGTTACGTTCTGCGGTGTTGAAAGCGTTGTTCAGGTTGTGCATCGCATTGGACTTCTGCAGCTTGTCATAGTCAATCAGGTCAGGTCTGAAATAGTATGGCACAGAAACAACAACATCAGAAACCATAATCAGACAATGAACACCATGATTTTTTAATTTATTTTTTAACGGAGTGGTTCAATGCAAAAATTTCCCTACATATACTAATAAAGTGGACTTCAAGTTGTACAAATTCAGCTGTGTGTTGTTGTTTTCTTATTGTTGTCATAAACTTATTTCCTAAAAAGAAGGCTGGGACAGTCCATCTGCAGTTTGGGACAGTTGAAATCTATGTTTGGGACAATTCTGGGACAGTAGTAAAAAAAGTTAATTTCGAGGCCTGCGACCACTTCTCGGCATTGAACTAGAAATATGAGAGAAACATGGCTATGCCAAGAGATGGCGGTGAACGTTGATTTGAAAGTCTGTAGATTGTAGGTTGGTGGGAAACACTTGTCAGGGAGGGAATTCCAAAGCTTGGCCGTACGGGGAAAGAAACTGTCACTGTAAAATGATTTCCAACAAGGAATTTGGACGGTGAAGTTGTGTGAGCTAGTGGAGAACCTATAGCTAGTGGATTTAAAAATTTATGCACGCGCATACACAAACGTTACTGGGCCCCAGTGTCCTACAAGTGTGGAAATAGAACAAGCCAAGTGAATAGGAATAATATTAACCCTACCTGTGCTTGTGTATGAGGGCATTGAAGGCCAGCCCGTCACTCCAGCTTCTGGTAAAGTTGGTGATGTTCACGTTGTTGTACCTGCAGCACAGAATGTTCACATGTTACCATCATAACACATCTAACCACAATATATACTTGCACAAATGTTAGAGAAAAAATACATCAACAACATCGGGGGACAAACGCAACAGCAACAGAGCTGACCAGTAAAGTAACTAAGTTAACCTACAATCATGGACCTTAGATCTAATCTAAAAATGTGATGAATACTGGCCTTGGAAATAATTAGGTCTAGCAGGAAGAAATATATCATTTATAACCAAATAAAAGTGGTCACTTTTACGTGGTTACACTCAACATTTATTTAACCTCAAAACTCTTCTGCCCAAACCGCTTTTCAAGAGTTCAAGGGAGGAGGGTCAGTGGTCTTCATTCTTGTTACAGATACACAATAGTTTCAGCAATAGATAATAAATTTACATGCAAATTAAGATAAATTCGAACCACCAATAATATTCTCTTCTCAAATCGCCAACAATAACATTCCCATAGTATTATAATCTTATATTCATTCTAGAGGGGCTCGTCTAAGTTTTTTAATGTTACAACTAAGGTTGCCATCTTAAGTCCAATGGTATGTCTAATCTATACTTTCACAGGTATTAAGAGTAAAAAGTTTACAGGCACGGTCTTAAGAGACAATAGGATATTTAAGGGAGATGATTTGGTGGTCCTTACCCTGCAGTCTTCATCTGGCACCACAGTAGCAGGGCATCCTTAGCTGATCTTGTCTCTTTGGTCTCTTCTTCATCCACCCTGATGTCTTGGATCTACAAGAGAACAGACCATGTTACTCCAGATGTACACAAGTTATGTCATCATTCTCAGTATTATATAAGAGCAGAAAAAAATACTAATGACTTTCTGTAGTAGTCATTATTGCTGTGTTTAGATGTGTCATACTTCTTTAAACAATATTCATTGTTATTAAATATTATGGTGCATTTTCTCAAACAGGTTTTTTGACTATCTAGTCCTTTCCAAATCATTACTTGTTATGGTAAAGGTGTTTGCTAATACATGTATCTATAATATATACATCCTTGACTTCTTGGTTTCATCAAAATTCAATTTTAATATTCAAATTTCAATATAACATGCCAATACCCATGTTACAAAAATCAACTTTACAGAGGACGTCCTAGTGAGATCCATATCTAACATGTCCTTAATAAAAAAAATCTAGTACCATTTGTGAGCATTAATGAAAAAGTAACTCCCTTTTTTTGGAAATGGCTCCTTTAAAAAATACAGTCTGTTACTTTCTAGGGTACTTTGAGCTTTTATACCAGCTTGAATACGTGATGTATGATAGTGGTTGCCCACAGTATGACCTAGCTTTTGGTATGTTTCAGTGTTGCACACACACACACACATACACGTATAACCTTTTTACTCCCCCCATGCTGGGTAGGAACCACAAGTTGAAGACCAGACAAATCAGGCTGACATCATGTATTTAACATCGTTCTGTCTGGGAAACCCAGCCTGGTAACATTACAGATGTCAGAGGGTTGGGGCAATATCTCAGGACCTTTTTAGAATAATCAATATCTCTCTGCCTACCGGTGCAAAACTCAACCAAGTACAGCAGGAATATATGATTTTGGGGGATATTTTCAACATTTAAAAACGCTTGTAAATGTCAACATAAAAACTCCCTGTGAGACATTGGTACTTATTACATGTATATAAAACTAAATATCTGCTGCCTTATTCCTTTCTGCACAACAGCCTTCTATTCCATTTTACCCTGCCTGTCCAGTGTTTTTCCTGGCCCCATAATTGATCCTTCTGAAGGCCAGTGGGTAGTTTTCTTTGTGACCTCACACTTAAAAAACACCAGGCACTGTTTTTGTCTCTTTCTCCTCCCAAATTACCACTACGTACAATACTGCAAAAAGGTCCATCTAGCTACAAATCATTATGTGCGATTCCAATACTGGTAATGGTACAAGTGGGGCACTAGAGGGGGGTTTCCAAATTGGATCCCTGAAGTTGGATGTAATTGTCATGACTGAAGAATGGGCATGTTTTGTTAATATCACAAACATTCAAAATCTATGGTGTCTTTTTTGTCTGACATAAATGAAGAAATTTAAATTACAATCAAGAAATATTGTTTTTCATATTTCCATTTCATGTTTTCATATCATAGAAATAACAAGAGTCTTAGAACTATATTTACAAGAGGCTTATGACAGCTATATAAATATTCCAATATGGACAAATTTGATGCATCAAATGTTCAATAAAAAAACAAGACAGTCATAGAAAATAAAAATTAATACATTTCTTATAGACAGCCTCTAAAATAAATGTCTGCGTGCCCAGAATAAGGACAAAACAAAAAGCCAACAATATAAAAACTGTTTATGGCAGGTGGAATTTATGTAAAGGATGACAAATGATGTTTCAGCTCATGCATCTTGCAAATTTATCCTAATATGGCAGAGTCAATGGCATGTTATAAATAATTCATCAGAATGAAATCAGGAGGCTCCCTGTGTAGGAATATTGACACTGGCACAATGTAGGGCTGTCATAACAAAAAGCACATCCTGGTTATCCCTGGCATGTCTAGTCCTCGCTTTGATTAATGCTATAAAGAGTGCTGCAATTATTTTGTTTGTTAATTTTACCACAACCAGTTATGTCACATTTTATGGCTGACACAATTTTTGACAATGTAATTCAATAATATGCAAATTACCGAATGTTCAAAATTTTCTTGCATCAGTGCTATTTTTGGCTCATAGCCAGCATAGTATGCTCATTTTTGATACACATAGATGGCTCACAAAACGTAATTACCCCTGCTGGGCAAAACGTGTTGAGCGGCCTGATCTAGTCACGTTCAGTCATGTCATTTATTTTGACCAACAGTCTATTGTCCGTGGCATACCAGCTGTCAGACATTTTTCTAATGTTAACATCAGCTGATGTCTTTCATTGTCTGACTGTTTAGCAAAGTCTTTGTGCTCATATTAACAAGCTAAACCCACAATCTACGCTACTTTTGAATGCTAAGAAAGGTACATGTCCCAGTTAGTCAAATGGTTGGCCCCCATACAGAGCAGGATACGTTGGTTGACCTTGCTATGCACGGGTCACAAGCTTGCCATAAATTGTCAAGACACAAACTACAAGTCCTGAGGCTTGTTTCTTCAGAGTGGAAAACAACATGGCAGAACTTCATGCTACAAGATGCTACTGTTAGCTTGGAAAATGAGATCAAATCAGTTACAGTAAGTGCATTTACCATATTTTGTGGTGGGTATATTTTCGCAGTGTCCAATTCATGCAAAATTGTGATATCATAAAATTGTGTTTGTATTTCTACAACAGCATTGTTTCAATAATGAACTTCAAATGCTGTAATAATTTTCTTTTCCCTAATACCGTTCGAACCTCCTTGATAAAAGCAACAAGACAGTAAATGTATTTACACTATATGACAGAAAACGTTTTATATGGTACTTAATAATCTAGAAATCTTAATAAAGTCAGTATCCACCTTTCTGTCCAAATTTTACCAAATCTTTGATGGACAAAAATTGGCGTGTAGAGAGATATCACTAAACTAAGCTGTAAACATTAATAATGTGCAGTAAAAGGTGTTTCAGAGGATCAAGATTTCAAAATTTTCCCGGGGGAGCATGTCCCCGGACCCCCTAGGATTGTCGACATAACGTTAGGCCACAGCAAGTAATTTTTATAGATGACATCAGCGCACGCATTAATTTTCGCCTGATTTTGGAGAAAAAAAAAAGAATTTTGTTGCCTAATCTGACAGTGGTCAACATGCCAGAAATGGGCAAAGATGTCTGTTGCCATGCCGGAAGGTGGATGGCAGATAACTATGAAGGGAGAAGATAAGAAAAGGCTCCGATTTAATGATTTGTTTCTTACTTTGATGTAGAGACATGTGATGGTGGCTGTGTATGTGTGATGTACACTACCAGGACCGTAAAATTTAACGATTTACGCTGTTACACAAACAAACGCACGGCGTGCACACGTTCGTACACACACCGTGTGCACATTTGGGGCGGAGTCCAGATCAGCGGGGAGTCAGCTCATTATCACTGGGATACCGATAATGAGCCGCTGGTCTGCACGGTAGAGAAATAATTACGTTTGATTTTACGACAGTTGTATACCGGTCACGTCAGCGCGCAATGTCGCGATATTGTGTGTCCATTACGATATGTACGAATAGAATCCTATATCTACCGGTCAAAATTAAGTCAGCTGCGGGCGAAAGTTGCCTTTCGTTTACATTTTGGGCCAGCTGTTTTCGTATAGGAACTGTGTTATTCTTTGGAGATAATAATTAAAGTTCTTGTGCCGGCATTTATTCCGCAAACACAGCGTAATAATTTGCCGATTTCTTCTACGTCGCCATGTGCTCCCCGCCCGCGCTGCCGAAACGGATTGCGTAATGCTCTATTGTACAATATTTAGCGGTGAGGATTAGTGTTTAAAAGATTTCCTAGGACCTTCCCCCGGGTCAAAAAATTTTCCAAACCCATTTAGGCCCTTCCCGGCGTGAATGATATACTAGTAAACTGGTCGAAAGATGACGTTTAAACGGCCAGCAGAAACCTCATTGATGCGGCCGGCCGGCCACGAGGCGGCGCGAGTAAACAACACAAAAATGAAAAGCCAGTGATTTGTTCGGCACGGGGCTGAATATGTGCTTACGGGGAGGAAAGACCACGGGTATTTTTTTTCATATTATATCAATCAAGTATTGAATAAACACATCATGAGTTATTGCATCCGCCAAATCGCTTTATATAAAACAGTGGTTTTCAAAAATGAAGTCAGAGTTCTTGTAGGAATGGAGTAGTAATCATGACATTGAGAGTCAAAATTCACACACATCTCGTAGTAGAACATTTCTCCCAAGACATCACGGCGCCCCATGGCCAGTCCTGTCAAAATTGATTGATGAACTCCGACGCAACCGCCGAAAGGGGCGGTTCGAGTTTCAGATCAAAGAAGTCGGTACAACTTTCGCTACACGCGTGCCAAGTTGTGGCCGGACATTCTGTTTTACCAAGGAGGTTGTCGGTGTACAGGAAATTACGCTGCCAATAAAATGTTTCAGGGCTTCTATTTTATTCTACGGCGGCCACTATCAGATGCGGAATAATTTGGCAACAAAAACAAACATAAAACAAGCAGGTTAGAACTTAAAGATTTAAACACAAGGAGCTTTGATTATTTTCTACTGCAGTTTAAATGGATTTTGAACACGTCTACTTTCTGTCAGTATGTGTAACCTACGTAAAGCTGCGGATATTTTTTAATCATTCAGATTAAACCTCCTTGTGCAGATTATAATGTCTAGTACTAATTTATAGAAGAATGAATATATGATAGTGATAGTCGGAGACGCCAAAGATCGTTTCAGTACCAGGTGTACAAGTCCGTTGCGCGTCATGTTTTTTTTGTATCGTCGACAGCTCTCACTGAATATAACAGAACTTGTTGGAAAAGTCTCGGGGTCACAACCCCCCATTTTTATATAAGATATATTTTGACAGGTTATTAACTTTTTGTATGTTCTCTCTTATACATACAGGTGCTTAGACTAAAACTGCACGAGCGAGGGAGAATACTGCATGCACATGCCGACTTGTTCTTCCGGGAGTTTTTATATCGTTTTTGGAGCGATCATACATGTAGTTTGTCCTAACTCTAGTCTAGATTGCACCTTCTTGTACCCAGTAAGATATAGTGTTGAGACTGAAATGTTTGATATTTCGCTTTGTTGATTTATGGAGGTAGAAA